TATATATATATGTATATATATGTATTATAATATATACACATATTTGTTTCTTCTCTATTAGTGTTTTGAAAATTTAAGGAATTTTTATTTGTGAAAGTAGTTAGCAAATTCAATTCCTGAAAAGAACTTGTTTGGTGCACTAAGGCATGCAACACTCTTTGAACATTTGCAGAGATAATTTTGTTGGTATCAATCCTTTTGGAGGTGAACATATTTAATGTTCTTGATATTAACTAAAGCTAATTCTTTATTTCAGATTATGTGCACAGAACAAGATCTTAAAGACATTGGACTGCCCTTAGGTCCAAGGAAGAAACTTTTGGGATATCTAACTGAAGAGAAAGTTAAAAAAGTATGTAAATTAAAACTGTACTTTGTTATAATATAAATACTACATTAGTTTAAATTTCTTACTAATGATTACTTAATAACTATACTTCCTACCCGGAGTTAGCTGACAGAAGTGAATTCCCTTAACCAAAGATTTAAAAATTTTTTTTTTTTTACTTAATACAACAAATGATGGAAGAAACTCAAGGAGGGGCTCTGAAATATCTGTGCTATCTGGATCATGAAAGATCTGTCTTTCATTTTTAAAATGATTCTTTTAATATCTTATTATTGGTAGAAATATTGTATAATATCCCTTATCAGGATATAAATTATAAGTTTATGGTAAAAATAATGGCATTACATTTTCTTTCTTGAGCAGGATAAGTTAGATTTATTTTGTTATAAATTTAAAAAATCAAAAGCAAATTTTATCTCTAGGACGCAGCAGTGAAAGAACAAGCTGATAAAAAAATAAGAGAAGAAATGGAAAAAACACAAAGATTAAAAGCAGCAGTAATTTCTTCACAACAGGAGAAAAAAAAAGAGTAAATCTTGTTAGATTAATTAATTTAAAGGACATCATTTAGTTAACAACTGTCTATTAACATACCTCTGGAATGATTTTTTACACATTTTATATCTCACTTAACTTAGATCTACAAATAGATTTCTGGTTTCTATTTTATCTAATAGTTATTTTTTTTTTTTTTTTTGTTATAAAAGAGGTAAAGTGGTCGGTGCAAAATATTTGCATGGCAGGCTCGGGGCTGGCCAGCTAGAAATTTCCTACCCACAGCTAGATTTTATACCCAGTGCCTTGTTTGCCTTGGGCTCTCCAATTGCCGTTTACCTGTCATTACGAGGGGTCCAGGACATCGGAGAGTTCTTTCAGTTACCCACATGTCCAAGGGTGTTCAATGTGTTTCACCCGGTAAGAGTTCCTTAATTTTTGTTTAACCTCTCTACATTATTCATTCTGATGTTGAGAAAATGTGTTGTGTATTTTAAAAATTAGTAAAAGATTTATCAGGTTTTTTTTAAAGTTTGAAAATGTAACCGTAATCATATTTTAAATTATTGTAAATATGTTGGAATGATTTTAGAGTTACACCCGCATAGTTTTAATCAGTATCTGTTTGTTTATTTTCATATATACACAGTTTGATCCCATGGTAAGTGGTTATTTAGAAAGGATGTCACTTTATTTTCATTGCATTGAAGACATAAGATTTTATAAGTTAAAATTATTTTAAAAATGTATTCATTAGTTCTAAATTATTATTTTGTCAGTGGTATAATGACATTTATAATTCATGCTTTTCTTAAACTATGAATTTCTTCTATGTGATTGTTTGTTTATTTGCAGGCCTACAGGTTGGAGCCCCTCATCAGAGCCAACACTGCCACTGTAAAACCAGTTCTAGTTCCACACTACAAGGGAAGAAAACGACTGCATTTAGGTTTGAATGTTATTTTTATTCATATCTATTTTTATCTTTATGCAAAAGGACGCTTAAGGACAAAAGTGATTGTATTGTGGGGGGTTGGGCTTAGTAAAATTGTATAATATACCAGTACAGCCTGAATTAATATTTGCAAACTGAGAACTTCCGTATTTCCTTTAATAACAAAGTGAGGTACTGCACCCATTATGTATTGTTCCGATGTTGATTAAAATTAGTGATATCTAGCAGATAAGAATAATAGGGCCATACATATAATGCCTAGTGAAAAGTGCTTTTTGATAGCCGCTTTTATATTTTATAACAGACTTGGTATAAGGATCTTGAAAATACTCTTATCTGTTTCAACTTTTTACTATGATTAATCTGATTTATGTCTTTTATAGTTAACTCCTGTAAACATTATTACCACTTGGTAAAATTATTTATAATATGTCAAATAAAAATGATTTATTCTTAACTTCAATTAGAATTCAAAGAAGCAGTTACTCGTTACGGCACAGACATTAAGCAAAAGATAATTGATTCATTCAAGAGCACTTGGAACACCATTAATGATTTTGCTCGTGCACATAGAAACGATGCCTCCAAGAGCTCCACTATGGAGAACGAGGTTCAATCAGAAATGGATCAGATGATGTCACATATAGCCCAGCAACAAGCTGAAGATGACAGAGGATGTAAGTAAAAAGTTAGGAGTACAGCATAGTAATTAAATTCACATATTGTCATAGCCTCCGCATCAGTTCCATGTTAATCCTTTACTAAAGTGAGAAAAATGATTTTTTTCAAGATGCAACATTGGCAAAGATGATTTTCATAATAATAAAGTTTTTGGTAAAAAAGTTTTTTGATAAACCTGTATTTTCTGTAACTTTTGATAAAGTTTAATATTGTGGTTCTAACTTTAAAATCGTATGTTTTTTAAATATTTGTCTCCCATGATTGCTAATTGGCCAAATACTAATAATATTTCATTTTAAACTTGAACATATCTTCCCCACTCACGCACATCTCTCAACCAGTTTGTCACTAAAAGTAAAAGGGAGATAGCTCAACTAATATTAAATAATGTTTCTGTGATCTTTTGTGGTACTCAAAGGTCATACTCAATTGTCATACTAAACATACTGGAGAAAAGTGTAAATATTTTATTTTAATAGTATAGTCTTTGGTACCTCATGAACTACTTTCCGTCATTTTTGATGGGTGAAAAACTGCTAGTAGCTACATAGATATGACCCAAATCAAGATGATCATAAACAAATTCAAGTGCCATCTTCACTCGCTGTCTTAATTTAAAACCTGTAAAATATTTCCTTATCCCACTTGCAGCTGTGTCATCTATGGCTGAGGAAGAAATTCATGTAGGACAACTCAATGAAGGTCAAAGAATTGACTATGTCCTACAAGAAGGTCCATTGGAGAGCTTCAATGATTATTTATTTGCTTTGGCATCCCACTCTTGTTATTGGTGCGTAAATGTGTTCTGTAGATGTTGTTAGTTTTATTGTGGCAATAAAACAAAATATTCTAAAATCCTTTAGATGTTAAATTATAGTTTTAAAAATAAATTCATGCATTATATTGAATCATGTTTTGTTATCAAGAAAAAGACAATGTATGGGCTGTAGTATTTTACATTCCTTGTAACTCAGTTAAATACATTATTTATCAAAATAGGTTTTTCATCTGCTTACTTTATGACAATCTGTTGTGTTTCTGTGGGAAATAATGAGAAACTGTTATTACTTCTGTCTCAAGCCTTTTATAGTATTTTAATTTTTACATAGTATTTTAATTTTTACATCTCGCCATAAACTGAAACTCCATATCTGGTAAAGACAAAACAAAAGTATTTAAACAAAATTATGCTGGAAAGATAAGCATACAGGTTAATGTGAACATATTTTGATGTCTTTATTTTACTTTCTGATTAGGGAGTCTGAAGACACTGCTTTGCTGCTGCTAAAAGAAATTTATGCACCACTTGGCATCAGACCCACAATGCCTGGTGCTGAAGGTGGGAAACTATCAAGAGAGTCATCACTACCACCTCGACAACCTCCTCCACCACCATCTGGATTGACATCATTCTCCCCAGCGACCAATCCTTACCAAACTCCACTCAGCTCCAATCAGGCCCCTCCCACTTCCTTTCCATCTTCCAATCCCGGTTTCTTAAATCCTCAGTCTTCCCCTTTTGGACCTTCTCCTCCTGCAGTTCAGCAACCTGTTGGACCTCCTCCCCCACTATTTAGCCCTCAGGCCCAACAACCCTCTTTTCAGTCAGGAGTTAGGAGGTCTCCCTATGTTGCTCCAGACTTTACTAATCTACCCTTGAATCAGGCCCCTGTTGCACCAGTGTTACCTCCAATGGGGCCAGCATTGGCTGGGGGTTATAGAAAAGGTCAGCCTTAACACTGAGCCTGTTTTTATGTTTCAATCTACAGATCACCCAGCCTTTTGAAATTACTTATTGTAGCTGCAGGACATTTTAGTTAACATGATCATACTGATGGTTACAAAACTCACTTCTGGATCACACAATCTGTTTCAAAGTTGTAAATATATTCATTATTTAATCTTGTGATCTGGTAGACGGATGAAGTTTATGAACAAAGGAAATATTGAGGATACCACTAACCTCTATTACAAATGAGCACCTCACAAATGAAGACTTGATGCTCACATAAAGTCAAATATGAATGTTGTGCTTTGTCTCCGGCAGTTTTAAATCTATGTAAACAATTTTGTTCCAATTTATAGGTGTTTAGTATTTGCAGATAAGGAATTGATTGGCACACATGGAATTTGGGAAAGCTAAAATTATCGGTTTTAATTATGTTACATTATGTGTTCTTAACTTTTTAGGAAAGACATGATTGAACATAATTTGTTATAATATAAGATAATGGTAGTGGATTATTTTGAAAATTATTGATATGCTTGCAAGAATTATCTTCAGAGATATCAAAGTAAATCCCTTTATCAGTAAAGTAAAACCATTTTGATAGAGCATGTGTAGCTGTTACCAATTAATTTTGTAATAGCAATATTTATTTCCCTCAATATTCTAGTCATTTTATTTTTAAAAAGTGTCATGTGTGGTATCCATTTCCTAATTTTCTTTATCAGTTAGTTATGGTAGTAAACTGTGAAGTCAGCATTTGTAAACAATAATAATTTTTTTATATCCTCTTGCAGAATAAAGTATTTCATTTCAGCTGGTATTTAGTTCTCAGTGTGGTAAATAGCTTGACAATATAGTAGCCTTGTATACTTTTTGTTGCTGAAATTTTACTATTACAATAAAACTGTATACCGGTTTTTTTGGAACCTTGAATTTTGAAAACACATTTTAAAAAGTTTATCTAAAAAAAAAATAATAATAAATTTAGTTGTAAATGGATATACTTGAGTTTATATGGGGTCTGAGTGTACTCACTCTGGTAATCACTGAGTTTTGTTTCAATTTCAAGAACTAAACCTAATTCCTCTTAGTTCCTTTTTCAATAAAACAATAAATAGTGTGTAAATTACTTCCAATCCAATACTTTCATTTTTTAAATAGTTACTTTCCCTTTAAAAAAAAAAAGTTTGTGATTGATTATTGCTTTAAAAAATTACAATTATTGATTTTTTAAAGACTGTCTTACATGGACACCTTAATAAGGTGCAAAATTAAGTTAAAATAATTAAAGCAAAGAAAATAAATTATCAAGATGTTTTTTTCCCTGGCTTCATTGTCATGGGAAAATTCTGAAAATAAGTAAGTCTGTACTTGCTTCCTCAAACAACCTATGTCCCAACACCTTTTTTTTGGGTGCTTTTTAAAGCCCCATGGAACACCATTGCCTTAGAAGAATTAGCATTGAGCGTGTTTAAAAATACTATTAACGTGACAATTCAATTATTTTTGTCCAGTACATAAAACTTAGTTAAGACGGCAGGTAAAGATTAACACATAACAAAAATGAAGTTTTGATCAATTTAAAATATCTCTTACAACTGTAATATTATAGATTCAAAATGAAGCTCTTCACTGTTTATTCTTATGCAAGTTATATTAGCAAAAACATTTCATTGAGAGCATTAGTATTTACCAGTAGTATGCAATGAACTATGACTATGTTTAAAGCTGATAAAAGGTTAAAATGCTGTTGTATTTTTTTTTTCTTTAGATCACGAATTATTCAAAGATATACACCATTTAAAATAACATTAACATAGTTGACACAAACAGAGCATGATTTACTAATAGAAAATTTCACCCCCCTGATATCTATTGCTGAGCATTAAAATCTTTTCTTTTAAACACTGAATTATTAGATAATTTATGTTTAAAATATGTTTATTTATTTATTTGTGAAGTATTGGTATTATTGAAATTTTTTTAATTAGAGATTTCATCATAATAAAGTATGTTGGAAATAATCGTGTCTTTTTCTTGTCCACCCCTGTGGCTGAACTTTTAGGATATAGTGTAAATTAACCAGTTTCCTTCAAATATGGAGGCATAAAAACAATATATTGGTATTCTCATGTCTTATAATTATTTCCTTTATTGCCTTGTTATTTTATTTTCTCTGTGATCATTTATTTTTTATTGGCAGAGGATTTTTTTTCTTTATTAGTCTGTGACTATGGAGATGTAAATAAGATATTGTACGTGAATAAAATAGTTATTCCAATGAGTTTTGTCTTTGTTGTTTGAAATTTCTGGCCCTCAAAGTAAACATTAACAATGAAGACTGAATGACTGGCGATTTCTCATTTGTTTATGAAGTGCCATATTGATATGGTAAGTGGTCAACACTGAAGGACAACACATTGCACAGCATTACACTGACTGAAAGCTTCTTTACTTCTGCCCACTTATACTTAAAGCGAGAAAACTCAGTGCAACGGATATTTACATGGCACGTTTGCAAACTTTACCTCCAGGCATTTCAGTCAGTGCCGTTAATTTCCCCAATAATGAAGAGTTAAAATAATAAATGTAAGATTAGGTGAAGGAAGACCAGTAATTGTGAACTTTATAATAAAACGATCAGCAAGTCAGAGGCGTAGGGTGAGGGAGCAGCCCGCCTCTGCTTGGTGAGGGAGCAGCCCGCCTCTGCTAGGTGAGGGAGCAGCCCGCCTCTGCTACGTGAGGGAGCAGCCCGCCTCTGCTACGTGAGGGAGCAGCCCGCCTCTGCTTGGTGAGGGAGCAGCCCGCCTCTGCTAGGTGAGGGAGCAGCCCGCCTCTGCTAGGTGAGGGAGCAGCCCGCCTCTGCTACGTGAGGGAGCAGCCCGCCTCTGCTTGGTGAGGGAGCAGCCCGCCTCTGCTAGGTGAGGGAGCAGCCCGCCTCTGCTAGGTGAGGGAGCAGCCCGCCTCTGCTATAGGTGAGGGAGCAGCCCGCCTCTGCTTGGTGAGGGAGCAGCCCGCCTCTGCTTGGTGAGGGAGCAGCCCGCCTCTGCTGGCACTTTGTTTAAGGCTGTACCTTCGATCTCCTTCCCTTACTATATGACATGAATTATTTTTTTAATGTTTTATATTATAATGAAAGCAATACCTTTTCTGTTCAAATTTTAAATGTTATTGGTTGATCTTCTAATATTTAATTTAGTAGAGATTGCGTTGAAGCCACGCGACAAAAACAATGTTCGTTGAAGCTAGAATAAAAAGACCAGACAAGATAAATGGACGTTTCAACTTAAAGCCTTCCTCCCCAACAATACAAAAAAAAAAATCAGAAAAACGATAGGCATTTAACTCTGCGGGCTGGTCAAGAAAATGGCTAATATACATACGTCCTTTTAGGAAAAAAATATGCATCCGATTGACACACCCCACCAGCCACCTCCCTTTTAGTTTGTTTTGTCGTTTTATCCTATCTAAAGTCTCTGTCTCTTTCAGTCTCTCTCTCTCTCTCTCTCTCTCTCTCGCAGTCTCCGCTTTCTTAGTCTGTCTCTCGCAGCCTATGTCTCTTAGTCTCTGCCTCTCGTGGTCTCTGTCTTTCTCATTCTTTTAATAAATTTCTGTTTTTTACAAGTCTGAGAGTTTCAAAGTTTGAGATCAACTCTGGTAAATGTGAGTTCCATCCCAAACCACTACTGGCTTTAAATCCCTCCTTTTGGTCACTAGTCCCAGTGCCATTTGCTGGCGCCCCGGGCAAGCTTAACTTTGGCGCCCCTTTTAAGTATTAAACATAAAAATGTTTGCAAGGAAAAAACTAGCAAGTTGGGTAATGCATTTATTAACTAGTTGTTGTTTTGTTTAACAATGAACAGTAATAGTGTTCTTGTATTTGGACGGCAGTATGAACAGTTAGCCTACTGGTGACAATGCATTTTTTCTAGCCTTTAGATCAGCAACTCTTTGTTTATTTCACTTTCTATATTTATATTCTTCGCAATGTCATTTTCTAAAGACATATTTGCCAAAGAATTCATTCTGTCTTGAGACATGGATGATTGTAATAAATATGTTTTTATAAGGCCTATCTCGTCAGCGGCTCCAGTGATGAGTACTATAAGCATCTATCTTAATGCTACCCATAAATTTGGCATGACATTCTGTTACTTATATAAGTGTTCATGAATTTAACGGCTTCTATTGGAAGCTTTACACAGGAGGAAATAATTATTCGGCTATATTTAGTTCAGTCAACAGATCAATCCATTTATATCATCGCTATTTTCTTGATACTTTAACGTACTCTCCAAACCTTGACAGGCTACTTTGAGCCTATCTTTGTCTGTCAGATTTTTAAAGGTAATTTAATAGTCCCCATGTGTTATTGAAACTTTACAAATGTTCAAATCTCTCTGATGAAGAATTTATAGCTCTGTCCAGTTCACCATTGAACACGTGATATTTTTTCTGGGTCATTTGCATTTGAAACCTCGTAAGTGCATTTATATTCAAACAGCCTCCTTTTTTTTAAAAATGGGCTCTGCACCTAATTCTGTAGCTATTTCTTTAGCTGCGTCTAGTGCAGCGGCATAATTTCAGTTTTTTTCACGGGGTGGTGGGCAAAACCAAAGCTTGGTGGGCTTGTGAAGTTGTTTATTAATAAAGTCGCCACAGTACATAGATTTAAATAAAAACTGCAAATTTGGGATTGGGGGGGGGGGGGCAAATGCCCCACCCTCCCCTACTCAAATGACGTCCCTGATCTAGGGAATTTCTTAAATTTCACAAAGAGCGTCTGGAATTTTGTAATTTCATATTTAACAAAATAAAGGTTGTACGGTGAGGCAGTTAACGTGTACTTTACATACGTGCCATCGTCTCAGAGAGGCAGAAAATAATGCACAAATGCACTCGACAGTGAAAAAAAAACAACAACAAAAAGTAGATTCTCGGCAACTTGTTGCACTGTCACCTACCACTAAGTTTAGGCTATGGCATCTAGAGACCGACCGAAAGTGAT